TTCATCTGTGCCTGAGGATGTAACTGTTCTTTCCAGCTTATTTTCTACACTTTGCATTAACCTGCAGCACTCCTTATAATGAACAGTTTATGTATAGACTTCAACATAAGCTAAGGACCGCCTTTGACAGACAGCCCTGATTTTTTTCAAAGCCGAAAAAAAAAGAAAACAAAGAACGTTTCAAAATGTTTTGCTCTGACAGTGTTAAGGGATTACCAATGAGTACTGCAGAGCTTCCTAAAGGGGCAAAACCACCACGTGTAGCACGGAAATCCTCGGGGAATTTTAGCCAAATTTACTGTTGTTGTTTTTTTTCGACATATGTGCTCCATCACGAACATTCCTCAGTTAAAATTTCTGGTTCACGCCATAAACGGAAGTATGGTCTCGAACTGTGCTCACTTTGGTGGCAATATAAGCCGCCGTTTGCGCAAAGTCCAGTATCGCATCAACATGCCACCAAGACGAAAGCTGTGAGACTTTGGTCTTGCCAGAGCTATGGCATGGCTGCACGGTGGAGTTGGAGCCCGGGAAGTTGCCAGAACGCTTGCAGTGTCAAACTGTCATTATCCGCTGAGGCAGCGCCATCAAGCCACTGAATCAGTTCAAGGACGCCCACGTGCATGTCGAGCTAAGAAGACCACTCAGAGTGTTTGCAAGTGGTCCGTAACTAATGTTGAAGTCTGTATTAGTCTTTTTTACAACGAGTATAATTCTACTTTTATATTTGTCTTTGTCTAAAATTTTGTTTTTCAGTCATCACATCCACCCATACTATCTATTTACTTTACCGACCTACCGACCTATCTACCGATTGTCGACCAATCGACCTACCGACCTACCGACCTACCAACCTACCTACCTACCAACATCCCCAACCTACCTACCAACCTACCTTTTCACCTGTCTACCTACCCACCTGTCTACCTACCCACCTGTCTATCTGTCTACCTATCTACCTACCTACCTACTTACTTACCTAGATAGATAGATAGATAGATAGATAGATAGATAGATAGATAGATAGATAGATAGATAAGCAGAGTCCCCCCCCTCCCACATACACACAGAAAAAGCCCTTTATGAACAAGAAAACTCCCCAAGCGGTGTAATATTTTTAGGACACAACATTTTTCTGGTGTTGTGAATGCATCCTTGCAATACGCGATGATAAAGCTGCTGGCATGGCGTCGCGGCTTGACACAAAGAATGCCACGACTCCGATTTCTGCGCGTCACTGTTCATACTGACATAGGCGAGTCCATAATATTGTGACGGTTTTGTCAGTCCGGGCTTGTTGCTTGACAGCTAATAATGCGAGAATCGGAGTAAAGAGCATGCACGTACGCCCCCCCCCCCACCAACACACACACACACACACACACACACACACACACACACACACACACACACACACACACACACACACGCACACACGCGCACACGCACACACACACACACACACACTCTCTGTCTCTGATTGTGCGATGAAGAGTAGCCTATTGCATTTTTAATTACAGAAGAGAGATGATCATGAGGTGTTGCTGGGATGGCACTGTATTCGAAAGCAGTGGCGGTAGGTGAACCAAAATTTGGGTGGGGCTTAGGTTGCTTCCTATTCTTTACCACAAGCAATAAGAACTAAACTGTGATGATTTTCTATACTCACGGTAAGCCACGGCAGTTTGAGAACCATTCAAACGAGAAGAGTTGCCATTATTTTCCGTCTTTTGTTCTTAGTTAAAATCTTTTTGATGGTGGGGGCGAAGCCGATTCACCTCCAAATTGCCTCTAATTAGTTTTCGTGTGATGAAAAAGTTGACTTAAAAGTAGTTCGACCTGATTTATAACTGTTAAATCTCAGCGGCATAACATAATACTTCTTCTATGAGCTGGATTAGGCGTGTAGTCGAGAAAGTTGAACGCACCCAACAAAGAACCAATGAGCGCATAGGTATCTGTGTCACTGGGGGGAAAGGTGTCGTAAACTTCCACCCCACTGTCGGGCTAGGAGAGCGTGAGCCCTCGGTACAGTGTTATTTTTCCCCTGTCTTTTTACCTTTTTAGAAGAAGAGTTTCATCAAGGACGTCTGTGGGAAAAGGGCTCATCTTTGCTGAGCCCTAAAGACATTTGATTGGCTGCTGGGTTACTATAGTTGTAAGCGGTGACAAGAGTGATTGGATAAGCGAGCAAGCCGCCAAGCTGATCACTCTGTGTTCACTGCGTGTGGTCATAACGGTTTCAACTGCTTATTTCATTATGGAGAAACTTTTATTTACTTTGGGATAGAGTTGGGGGTGGTGGGTGGGGAGGGGGTAGGGGCTCAAGCCCGTGAGCCCTTCACTACCCACCGCCACTGTTCGAAAGCCTATTACAATAAATGCATTTAATATTACGGTAGGTTCAGACTTACTGTTTTGAGTTGAGGTTTTACCCTGACTATTAATTTGTTGAGTAGCCTTTGATTTCAATCAGGATATCGGTGCGTCGTTTGGTGGAATATACCTCCATTTTTGTTTGCATGATTGGATCTAAAGACTCCCTTTCTAGTTAGTGAGTAACCTATAGGCTTCATTTACCTCTTTCCAACAACAGCGACCTCCCCCCCCCCCCCAACCCCACCGCCGAAACAACAACATCAACAACAACCATAACAAACACAAAAAGAAAACAAAATTAAAAACAAAAGCAAAGAAAAACAACGACAAAGAAACAACAACAATGAAACAACAGCAAAAAACAACAAATAGGAGAATAGGAGAAAACACAATGGACAAAGCAATTCAATTTTCAACGGTTTGTTATCTTTGCATTGAATAGAAATGTACTGTATTATTTTTCTAATGCCAGTTGGCGTGTTGGAGACAGACACACAGACATACAGACAGACAGACAGACAGACACACAGACATACAGACACACAGACAGACAGACACACAGACAGACAGATACACAGACCATTCATGTATATTAGATCTCAGAAAGGTTTGTCGTTTCTCACATCTTCTTTCATGGTATTAACATTCTAATTTCAGTCAAAGTTAACCCCCCCACCCCACCCCACCCCCTCACCTCCTTTGCCCCCTCCTCTGGGCTCCTGACTCTTTCTGCAGCCTTTCTACTGTTACTCCTTGGCTCCTCCTTACTGCTGTCTTTCTGCCACACCCCTGATCTTCTGGTAGGAAAGATCTACACCTAGTCTTCTCGGACAAGGGCGAAAAATCTCAGAGGGCCCGTGTGCAAGTTGCGCACGTTAAAGATCCCTTGGTGGTCTAAAATCGATAAGAGTAGGCTTCGGCCGCCACCCGGGCAAAATTCAAAAATTTCTTACCAACTGAAAATATTAGGTGTGTCCCGCGCGCTCATATGACCTTATGCAGTTGCGAGCGCCGTAAAACACTTTACAAAAACAAAACTAAAACATAATTAACCCGTCGGATTTTGCCCGCAGATAACCATTACCATTAACTTAGTTATAAGGCCTTCTGAAAGTCGTTGTCATGAAACAATATTTTTGTATTGTCCTCCTTTGAAATACGAAGTTTGAAAACATGGTTTATTAATTACCCGACGCCTCATGTTGGGAAAACTCGTTTTGAAGACGAGAGGGCGACATTCATGTAGAAACGTGATGCAACACAGTAGGCTACGGCAAGGGCATTCACATTTTCAGACGTTTTTAGTTACAAAGACTAGCTAGGTCCGAGAGCAAAATGTTCTATCCGCTCTATCAAAATCATAAGAATAATCAGAGTCGTTATCAAAATATTAACAGAATTGCTTTTGAAAAGGCTGGCATAATATGTGAAATTCACTATTTTTTTTACTCCAAATTTCTCTTGACTAGATATTGAGCAGATTGAAAACTTTGTTATTTGTAATTCTGAAGTAGGCCTAGCGATTTATATGAAGTCAAGATGGCTGATCAAACACTCTAGCTACAATGTTATTTCTTATAGCTAATTAAATTGTACACAGACTAGGTCAATTTCAATAAGTATTTGAAACAGTTAAATACATTGTCGTATTTCTTATAAATAAATACTTTTGTCCGTTACGTCTGATTATAATTTACAGTTAGACGCCAACGGACTCTGCTTTTAAATACATTATTAAAAGCTGATTACGATTTTTATTGTCGTCCGATTGGGGCATTATAATAGGCTAAGTGATTGTCTCAAAATTAGGGCTATAACAGTTCTGCCTCTGCGCATTAGCATTTTAATTGTGGATGTATAATCATATAAGCTGCAAAGAAACAAACAAATATTATAGATTAAGGTTGTTAAGCCAAAGTATCAATCATTATGTTTGAGTGCGCGCGCAGGCGCGCGCGCGTGTGTGTGTGTGTGTGTGTGTGTGTGTGTGTGTGTGTGTGTGTGTGTGTGTGTGTATGTGTGTGTGTGTGTGTCTATGTGTGTGTGCTCGCGTGTGTGTGTCTTAGTGTGTGTGTAATTAGTGTCTTAGTGTGTGTAAGTGTCTGAGAGAGAGAGAGAGAGAGAGAGAGAGAGAGAGAGAGAGAGAGAGAGAGAGAGAGAGAGAGAGAGAGAGAGAGAGAGAGAGAGAGAGAGAGAGAGAGAGAGAGAGAGAGACGAACAAGCAGCGAGTAATATATAAAATAATATAATGAAAATAAAGACAACGAAAAAGTCGAAACGAATTATATTCGGAATTCAAGGAGCTTCACTCTGATGATCTGATCGTGGGTCAGAGGTCACTCTTGAAGTCTAACGCATGAGGCATGAGATGTTGTTTACAGTCATTGTCCTGAGTGACGCGCTATGGTGCTGATCTAGATCTAGTCAATAGAAGTTGGACTTTGGACCTTCGGCTGAAATGTACAGTGTTATTGCAATAGTTGTTGCGTCATGAACTGCTTTAGAATTATTACCCATGTCTCGCGAAAGTAGGATCAATAACGAAACCATGTTACAGTCGTCTGAGTCGTAGATTCTATATATATATATATATCGCCATTTCTTCTTTCATTGCTCAACTACTGACACTGCTCATATACTGTCTGTGTGTCGTTGGTCACAGCCTTGGTCTTGTGTTTGGACTCCTGGCACTTCTCCGGCAGTGGCTAGTTACACTCACACTGGCACTGGGGCTAGCCATCACTGACTGACTGGCACTTTTCTGCCATGTGAGATCATAGAAGCTATGATGTATGTTTTAGTTGAGATTGTAAAGGCCACCTCTATTCTCACCCGGAGTGAGAATAGTGAATAGTGCAGGCGAGTCTTGTGGCTATTCTCGCTCGGTGCGCGTTCACCAAATTTTGCGTTCACCCTAAACCACAGAATTCTGCACTGTGATAACAGAAAAATTGTAGAATTCTGTGCCTTGAACAAACGTTCCATTACAACTGTAGCCTACTAAAAGCGTACAATTTTGTCTGTGGGCAGTGGAGAGAGAGAGAAAGAGAGAGAGGAGTAGCGTGAGAATTTCCGGGCAAAACAAAATGGCGACCCGCGTAGTTCGGCTCGATTCGAAAAGTAAAATAGCGGCTGGATTGTACTTTACCGGACCACCCGTCTCGGCCCGTGATTACTACGCACGCCTAGCCTAACTACGCACTCATAGTACTCTGCGTGCGGACAAAAGGTAGTTCCGCGGGCGACTTCGCGCACGCACAGCGAAGTCAGCGGCAACTGGCAAGGCGAGGTGAGCGAGAGGTGGTGGTTGAGAGTGGGCAGGGGATTTAAGTTAACTTTGGTGGACCACCGTGTATCATACCAACAGTGGGGTGGGGGGTTCAGGGGGGCTTGCCCCCCTGGAAACTATAATAAAGAAAACACACATAAATGCAAAACAAAAACATGAGCGGACAGTCGTGTTTACATATCAATGGGGGGGGGTTTCAGGGGGGCTAGCCCCCCTGGCAACAATAATTTAAAGACACTCACACACACATATATAAACAATAGCATGATAAGTCGCGAGCAGGGCCGATGGGATTGCAATTATGCAAATGAGCTCTCGTGCGCATCTCTAGCCCTCCATTGTACTTTGGCGGACCAGGAGTAGTCCTAGGCCAAGCCAGCAGAGTTGCGAGCAAATAAGAATAGTGGACCACGTGATTAGATTGACCAATTAGCCTCAAGGTGTCAGGGTCATGGGTCAAAGGGCACAGTGGCACGGTCGTGATGACTGAAAAACCCGATAAGAGACGTCAGTCGATTGCTGGCAGTTGAAGAGTGAGGATGTAGAAAACTGAGTAGGAGAGTGAGTAGGGGAGCTCGGAAACGAAGAACAGCGGGCCACTAGGCACTAGGGGTGCCACAGCGAAAGTAGTTCCGACCGGTGGTCCGGTAAAGTACAATCTTACCAAAATAGCCGTAGCATCTTTGTAGACAACCAAATTAATTTACTTTTGTGTTTTAACATCATTTTTTAACTTTGTATTGGTCAATTTGATCGTCCACACCGATAGACAGTATTCAGAAAGAGACAGAGAGAGAGAGAAGAGGGGAGGAGTTGATCTTGCGAGAACTTCCGGGCGTGTGAGAATAGCCACTTTCGTCTTTAAAACCTAGCAAGTTTAAGTGGCTATTTCCCAGCATCATAACGGTCAATAAGATCGATAGCTATTCTCTGGTGTCCCGTAAGAGTAGACTATATAATTGCTCATGTCGCATCTCCACAGCTGTCGGCACGTTATAATGGCCCTACAAAAACACTCGGAGTCGGCATTTCTTCAGTATGTAATCCTGGCGGCGCTCTTTGAAATTGCCTTCCCATTCCTTTGGCAGCCATTGTGAAACTGATAATTTGCCTTGTAAACATGAGGATTACGGTGTTTTTAAAAAACTATTATTTTTGCCAGGGGGGCAACCCCCCCACTAACAATGGGGCGAGCCCCCTCAAATCCCCCACTATCAGGGGGCCAAGCCCCCCTGAAACCCCCCAGGCTAGTGCGCATTTAATATTTAAACACGGTGGGTCCACCAAAGTTCAATCCGGCCAATATAGGCTACATTTTCCAGTACAAACAAGGCTGAAAATATTACTGGCTAATGTGGTAGGGTTCACCTACTAACTTACCCTATGGCCACTTTTGTCTTTAGCAATCACTTCTGTTTCTATGTTAAACAAACGGGAAGGCAATTTCCAAAGAGCCCAGGCCAATTCACCATAGGTGGACACGCAACTACTACTATTCATCATGAAAGCTCCAGTGACGGAAGGAGAAATTTCTGTTTCAGAGGTGACAACACCAGAAGTGGCACATCTGGCACTGAACTCAGTTGCAACAGTAATAGCCTTAATAACGTGCCAACAGGGAAAATAGATTAGAAGGGAAGCTGTGGAGAAGCATTGACATACAACTAATATTTAAATGCCTATGTGACGCCGGAGAATAGCTATCGATCTATTGACCGGCGTGACGCCAGAGAATAGCCACTTTAACTAAAACTTAAAACTACCTAGTCTAGTAGCAGTGTCAACTACTTTGGTCAAGCCTGAACTGAAGACTGGTCAGAAAAATAAATAGCCTAAATAGATCTGGTTAAAATAGGTTACAAAAGCTGCTGCTGGAAGCTCTTCGGACTCAAATTCCAGTGCGCGTGCGCAATCACCAGTATGGTTGTGTACCGTAAGTGAGGTCTATACTTGATACTTGAGTCGGAATGGAATAGTCTCCCGTTGCTATTCGGACTTTTAACTACTGGTAGGCTATTGCACTGCGTTTCACAACTACAAAGGGATCAAAACATAAAATTCATTATATTCAGTCCTTATAAGACAGCCCCCCCCCCCCCCCCTCTCTCTCTCTCTCTCTCTCTCTCTCTCTCTCTCTCTCTCTCTCTCTCTCTCTCTCTCTCTCTCTCTATCTCTCTCTCTCTCTCTCCCTCCCTCCCTCCCTCCCTCTCTCTCTCTCTCTCTCTCTCTCTCTCTCTCTCTCTCTCTCTCTCTCCCTCTCTCCCTCCCTCCCTCCCTCTCTCTCTCTCTCTCCCTCTCCCTCCCTCCCTCCCTCCCCCCCTCTCTCTCTCTCTCTCTCTCTCTCTCTCTCTCTCTCTCTCTCCCTCCCTCCCCCCCTCCCCCCCAGGCGCTGCCAACCACCTTCACCTCTATATTCCCTCCCATACCGTTGTCCACTGCCCAGCCCTACTATATATTTTATCTTTTATTAAAGAAAAGACCTCAGTTCGCGCGCTGGGTCACCACGGTCGGGGCCCATTTGTTGTAAGTTCCTTGGCCAGATTGTAGAAACTGGGGAAGACCAAGGTCGAATTGCTTGTCTGCTTCAAACCCGATACACCTAGTGATTGCGCACGCACATTGGAGTTTGAGTCCAAATAGCTGCGGCCATAAACTTTTGTAATAAATTTACTCTTTTTGACCTTGGCCTGAGCGATACTTTTCATGTCATTTCCGTTCACCCTCTATCTCCCAGAACAACACAGGGTGTGTATCGTTTTTATCTCCCTCTACCATAGGCCACACCATCCAGACTCCAGTCCTCCAAATCCATGTTTTATTTTTTAAAAACAAGTTAAAATAGACATCATGATCATACTTCCTTTCTTTTTGAGAATTCGCAACTTTTAAAGGTGTATTTTGCAAATTGGTAATTCGATGTATCACTGACAATTTTAGATCTAGAGTGAGAGTCATTTTCCGCTCAAAATTCTTAATGAAAGTGAAGTGGCTATTCTCACCCTGGGTAAGAATAAAAATACAATCGACCTCTCACCCCGGGTGAGACTTGCCAGCGTTGGCTATTCTCACCCGGTGTGAAACTAGGCCTGTTTTTCCTAATTTCTGAATACTTTCTATTGGTGTGGATTATCAAATTGACAAAAACAAAGCACAAAATGAAGTAATTTGGTCGTCTGCAAAGATGTTCTATGGCTATTTCACCTTTCGAATTGAAGTTCTTGCTAGATCTTGGCTACTCCTCTCTCTCTCTCCCCCTCTCTCTCCCTAGCCTATTTCTTTCACCCCCCCCCCCCCCCCCCTCTCTCTCTCTCACTTCCTGCAGACAAAATTGCACGCTTTCAACACATTGAAAGAAAAACTGTTTTTGGAATTTTACCTGCATATGATGTAGTATGAAATCTAATTAACACACTCTGTTGCAAATTGTTAAAAGTTTTACTTTTCTTTTGTGTGCAACTTTGTTTGAATGCAACGAAAGTTTCCTGAAAGTTTCATGATGCAAATGGGATGAAGAATAGACCAAACAAGAGTAGGAAAACAACTACAACTGCACCAAATTGTCATTAATAAAAGTAAAATATCTTTTGTTGCAGGAGTTTGCCATTTTACTATTTTCATGTTCTAAATTTTCTCTTTGCTTTTTTAGATTCAGAAGTTGATGAAATTCTCTGTCAGTATACTACATTGTACCCAGATTTCATAATTTGACCGAGAAACAGCAATTTCTTTAGGTCAAGTTTAACTGTTAAGGTGTCTTGTGAAGTGCTTTAGCTTCTCAAACACATACTTTTTATGTTAATTAACTCCTCATAGACTGTTAACTGCTAGTTTTCAATTTTTATGGGCTTTACTGAAAATTTCTTGTTTCTATTTTCCCAGGTTTGTAGGCCAGTGAAAGTGAAAGTTGTACCTAAATTCCCGGTACTGGACTTTTTCTGTCCTGTGGCAATTGAATGCAGGAAAGATGTCTGAATACGAGAGTATACTGGAGCAAATTCGCCCGTTTGGGCCCTTCCAAGTCAGGATTTTTGTCCTCGTTTCTCTCTTTGAAACACCGTTAGCTTGGGCTATGCTGGTACCCATTTTCACCGCTTCGAATCCAGGGTCCTATTGCTCATATATGGATCCTGACAAAAATCAAAGCCTGGGAGCGTTCTCGTCATACAACTCATCCAGCAGCGTGGACACATGCTCGAAAAATGAAAGTGTGTGTGGAGAAGTTGTGTTCAAATCCACGTTCACATCGGTTGTGAGTGAGGTACGAACTGATTTTTTTTGGGTATTATATTAAATTTGTTATGGGTGACCTTGTTTGGACTATAGGTAGCCCAAATAAGAACTCCCCTTATTTGGACTATATTATATACAAGCCCAAGTATAAGGTAACCATCCCCGTGTAATCTTATTTGGGCTACACTCGCCAACACACCAAAGGTACCTCCCTTTGAACCTACAAGGCAAAGTTTGCAACTCTATGTCTGTAATCTTGATATAATTTCCCTTGTCTTACCCTCTTCTTAGCAAAACTGTCACTGTGTAGAATCTAGTCTAGACTCTAGACTTACTGGGTGCAGTGTAAGGAATTGGATGAAAGTTGTTTCAACCGATTACATAGAGAATCTTGAACTTGAAACCAATGAATCACAGGGATCTAGAATTATATAGGCTCTATTTGTTCAACAGAAATATCACATACTGGGATTCTTAGGACTGGTTAAAAAATGTTTTTTTTTACTTCAAAGTATATATATATATATATATCTTATAATTTCTAAACTGGTATAATGTTTAGCACAGAGACCAAAGTGAAGAAAAAAAATATAAAAACATTATTTTAATAACAGATTAAACTGAATGAGAAAGATGCAGAAGGTCAAGAAGAATTTTAGCCTAGCCTTGTGAATTCAGAATATGGCGAAGTGATTAAAACGAAGTCTCACCACATCACATCGATTTAAATCTCCCAAACCCTTCACTACCCATAATTTGACCCCAAACCCGTAAGTTACCATCTTTGTTCCAGTACTCTTTGGACCAAAACCAGAGACTGTAAATTTTTTTTTTCTAAAATATTAAATTAAATTAAATTATGATCTATAATACACTAGTTGTGGTATACTGTCTCGGAGCACAGATAAAACTATTAAACTGAACATCAAAGGTGTCTGTCGAACTCGGAAAGTGGAACTCTCTCTTTAATTCAAGAGATCAAATACGGTAGCAAAAAAGGGTTTTCCAAATAAGGTTTAAGGAGGTTGGTTTGCTTATTTGAGCTATATGTAGTCCAAATAACACTTCCTAAAAATTCCTTATTATATATACATTGCTCAAATACTTATGAACCATGTGTTCTTGTGCCAGAAATCTTGGGGTTGCAATGTCACTATGTCTTCAGATTCATCATCTTATAAAAATTGAAGTTCTGCTGAAAATCACCAAATGTGTCACGACGTGGTGGAATCAGGTGCTTGTCAGTTTTTGAGCATGTGGAGTTATTGGTCCAGTATCATCTTCAAGCTTGTTCATTTGCCTTGCTTTTGATGAAAACATTACCCATCTGTCTTAAGTAAAAATGGAGATATGCTTGCAACTGATCTTTTTTTAAGGAGATAAGGTCACCCAGTTTCAGAGATAAAATTAGCAAGAAAATAATGGCCGCCAAAGTTTGGTGACTTCAAGAGCTTGAGGGTCCTTGGAAATTGCAGTTTTACATTTCTTAATTTCTTGTGCCTTTGATCAACATTTTTCAGGAAAATCCACACATGATACACATATGTCACGATCCACTGGAATCAGGGACTCTCCATTTTTGGGCATGTGAAGTTATTGGTATCATCAGAAAGCAGATTTATTTGCCTTGCTTTCAGTGAAGCAACAGGGTATAAGCGGCGGATAAAAGTAAAAGTAAAGCTTCCAATGAAATAAATATCCTTTCATCTTGAATTGAACTCAAGATATATGCGATTGAAGGAAGTGAGGTCGTCTGGTTTCAGTGGTGAAATTAGCGAGGAAAGGGCCACCAAAGTTTGGTGACTCCAATAGCTAAAGAATATTAGAAAACTGAAAAATGACATATTTTGTGCCTTTAATCAATTTTTTCAGTAAAATTCACATGGAAATGTGTTTTTTTATATTGACATAAAAGAGGTTAAGAAAAAAAATAAAAATTCAATAAAAAATTCCAAAGTGGCAGAAAAATGCTTGTTTCTCAGGTTTCGTTATTTTGACAAGTGCCTGGTTTCACCAAATGCCTCACAAATGTATTTTTAAATGGACGTAAAAGGTCTTGCACAAGAAAAGAAAATCTGTTAAAAATTGACAAAGGCCCAAAGAATGCATATTTCTGTGATTTCATTATTTTGATGAGTGCCAGATTTCACCTCAATGCCTCAAAAATTATTTTTGAATAATGGATAATTTACTATGCTTATACTAAATTATAGTGTAGTATATAAGCTCTTCCCCTCTCTCTCTCTTTGTGTCACATTCTCTCTCTCTATGGGGAACTGTGTAAAGGTTCATGTTGAAAGTTTTTTTCTATCTGTTTTGTTAGATAGATAAAGCTTCTTGTAGAAAAATTAACTTTATAGAATTAAGACGTTTCTTTCTTCTTTTTTTTTGTCCAGATTATGCATACTGTTATCTTGTTTATGTTTAACTCAAGAGTTATACTCTTTCCTTTATTCGCAGTGGTCATTGATCTGCAACCAAAACTATGTTGGTGACCTGATCTCATCACTTCAGATGGCAGGAGTACTCGTAGGGGCAGTTTTGACCGGACAGTTGGCTGACTTTTTTGGCAGGAAGAAAGTACTATTTGGAGAATATTCCCTGCTTATAGTCTTCTGGTTTTCAACGGCGTTTGCTGGCAGCTGGCAAGTGTATGCTGCCCTCAGATTTTTTGTTGGTGGCCTTGTTGGAGGTAAATAGCACACTTGGGTTTCTTTCTCCTCCATGAGGATAGAGCTTTGTTACCTTAAATCTAATAACAAAAATCACCAGGCTCAGACAACAAACCTATTAAAATGATCTCAGCAATAGAAAGGGTGGGTATCGAAGAAATAACAACTTTGCTGAACGCCATACCATGCAGAAGAGGTACCTTAAGATCTTAAGAAGTCAGTCTTTATACTAAATTATAGTGATGATATAAAATACCTTCAACAACAGATTGTGAACAGCTTTGGACAGTCTCATCAGTCATCTTACTGAAGTCCTTCTGCGAGTACTAACGAAAAGAATGAGAAATCAGATACCTCCAGAAATTTCTGAAACACAGTGTTGATTTGTTGCGGATAAAGGTACCTGAAATGCCATTTTTACCCTAAAGATGCTCATGGAAAGATCAACTGAGGTCCAGAAAGACCTATATTTCTGCTTTGTCGACTACTCTAAAGCATTTGACAAAGCAAGACAAAGAACTATTTTACAGATTCTATCTGAAAATAACTTGAAAGGACCCAAAATACAGAGAAACCTTTATTGGGAAGAGCAGGCAACAATCAGGGTAGAGAATGAGCTCAGTGAAGATAGGCCAATCCGCAGGGGAGTACAACAAGGATGTGTCTCATTTCCTGATCTCTTTCAATATTAACAACTCACAGTATGCGAACAATAATCTTGATAGCTGATTTTGAGTCTTTGCTCCAATAGATTCTACATGAGTGACATAGAAAGGCAAAACGAAGGGCCTCTACTGAATGCCCAAAAAATGGATGGAATGCATGGTAATCTAAAAAAGTGTTGACATCCCAGGATGCAACACGAAATGTAATGTAAGAACGAAAGAATAAAACGGGTCAACAGCTTTATTAAATAGGCCTACTTTGGTCGCACAATTACACTAGATGTAAAAAGTGACAAAAAGATTTTTAAAAAGGATTGCAATATCTAAAGAAGCTTTCAGCAAGATGAAACCTGTCCTTTGAAACAGAAATATACCAGTGAACACAAAAATAAGAACCCTGAAAGCACTCGTATGGTCCTCCCTTTTGTCTCTGTAAGAGAGATGGATTCTATACAAGGACAGAGTTGGTGGTTGGTGGGTGCTCTGGTGTGGTTTGCTTCTTCTTTCCTATCAAACATCTATCCTCTTTATCTCCCCTCCTTCTTTTTTGTGTTTGTTACTCTCTTGTAACACCTCTAATCTTTTCCACTTCTATGACCTTATTGTGTTGCAAGTGCTGTAAAACTCTTACTAATTCTAAACAAAGATAGAGAAGACTGGAGTCTGCCATAATGTTGTATTTAAAGAGAATAGGCATACTCAGAACCTCATTGAAAGAGAGAAAACAAATTTAAATAGTGAAGTGCTCCAAATGGCAGGTTGTGAAAGATCTTATAATCAGAACCATCAGATGATAAAGACAAATGAGATTCTTTAGCCACATAAATAGATCAAATGGACTGGAGAAGCTGCTGCTGTGTGGAAAGATAGAGGGAGAGAAGAGGAAGACAAAGAACAGCACACTCAGAGATGGCCTAAACTAACTTTGCAACAAATAATACAATGAGAAAGACAGCTGATTAAGAGGACAGACAACAGGAAGGGGTAGGATACCAGTATTGATACCTGAAGATGAAGACCTGATACACAATGCATCACAGGGGACAAGAAGTTCAGAACCGGTGGACAGATTATTGCTCTGAACTGTACACCCACAAAACCACAGGAGGTCCAAGAGTGCTCAATGTCTCCCTATCACAAGACAAAGACAAAAGCAGCATCTTACCAGAAGAGAAAGTGGCTGCAATTTCATCACTGAAGAAAGGGAAATCAGCTGGAATAGACAACATCACAGCAGAACTAGTTCATGTAGGTGGAGACTCAGTGATAGACCTGCTATGGATGATCTGCAATAAGATCTGGCAGACAGGCGAATAGCCAACACCGTGGACTCAATTCTTGATCATCACCCTTCCCAAGAAAGGCAATCTTCAACAATGCCGAAACTATTGTACTATTATCTTGATTAGCCATCCTAGTAAAGAACTGCTTAAAGTCATTCTCAACAGACTGAAGCCACACCTAGAGAAAATCATAGCAGAAGAACAGGCAGGCTTCAGGACGGTGCAGCATAAATGAACGAATATTCAACCTGAGAACCATCATGGAAAAGTACTTCCAACACCAACAGGAGCTTCACCATGTATTTTTGGACTTCAAAAAAGCTTTTGACAGAGTATGACAGGAAGCTTTGTGGGCAACCATGAACTTATACAACATCAACGCCAACCTGATCGAAGTCATAGAAAAGCTATACAACAAAGCTACGAGAGCAGTGTTTTTCAACAACAATATTGGGGAATGGTAACGAACAACAGTGGGTGCACGCCATTGTTGTCTGCTCCCACCCACTCTTTTCAACCTTTTCTTGGAGAGAATCATGACAGTATTGACAGATGCACTTGAAAATCGCGAAAGAACAGTCGGTATTGGGGGAAGAACGATTAATAACTTACATTTTACAGGACGACATAGACGGCCTTGCCGGACAAGAGCAAGAACTAGTCAACTTGATAGACCATCTTGAAAAGACCTCCACAGCCTACAGCATGGAAATCAGTGCTGAGACTTAACTGATGTCTAACAACAACAAGAACATCACTTCAGCAGCAATGACCAAGTTGAAAACCATCTGGAACGACAGAAATATCACCGTCAGATCAAAGATCAGACTGATGCGTTCCCTGGTCATGTCAGTATTTTTGTATGCCTGTGAATCCTGGACCTTGAATGCAGACCTTGAAAGAAGGATCACTGCTGTGGAGATGAGATGCTTCCGAAAAATCCTTGGTATCTCGTACAAAGATCACATCGCAAATGATGAAATCAAACAAGGGATTAAAGACGAAATTGGATCATATGCTGGCTTTTCACTCAGGTCAGGAAACACAAACTGCATTGGTGTGGACACATCACCCATTCTTCCGGCCTTGCCAAGATGATCCTGCAAGGCAGCGTGCAGGGAAAAAGGAGCAGAGGCAAACCGAAGAAGAGTTGGGAGGACAACATCAAGGAATGGAGAAGCCTGGAACTCAAAGACACGCTCAGAAAAGCTGAAGACTGGAAAGAGTGGAGGAATCTAGTGGCCAAATCTTCAAAAGTACCTCGACAAACATCCAGTCCACGGGATAGGTAAAGGTGGACTCTCTTGTAACACCTAATCTTCGCCACTTATATGACCTTACTGTGTTGCTTGTGCCATTACTCTTACTAAACCTAAAAACAACACTGGTCAGAGCATGCCACTCACCTCTTTTGTGTAGTCATTTCCCCCATCATGTTCAAACAAACATGCACTCAAACATTAACATAATTCACACTCCATATGATCCATTGCAGTGGCACATTCTCTGTCTTTGATTGCACCCCACCACCTTGCACCCACCCTCTCATGTCTAGATTCAAGGATGTTCTAGTGCCTTATGTACACTTCAAGTAATATGAGATGATGTGTCTCAGTACTAGTAGTGTGTGTGTCACACAGTGACAGGGCCAGCCCTGTGGACTCATGTAAAACCGATGCTCTCAATGATGGTGGATGTGTTTTGTTTTACATCCTGTGCCCAGGGTGATCTGAGTTCGAGAAGTTTGTTGGGGAAAATTTAATTTGGCTTTATGGGATGAACTATTGGACATAGCTGTGTGGCTGTTTGAGAAAACAGTGCTGCAAATATAAAGAAAATATAGCAGTTCAGTCAAAGAATGGCATATTGTTTGAGCTATCCATGAATTCGAGTTTTGTATGTAAAAGTCAACTGTGTTTGACTGTATGTCTTTAAGATACTTTGATTGATATCATGTTTATACCCTGTTGGTAAACTAAAAAGTAAAGATAATTTGTTTTGTATCAGTAAGATACACCTTAAATTTGGAGCCGGCAAGGTACCAGTTGTTTTAAAGACTTTCATAGACAACTTTTTGTTGTATTTATATTTTGTCAAAACATTTTACTTGCAGGCTGTCTGGTGGTAAACTTTGTGCTGCCTCTAGAGTTTGTTACACCGAAATGGAGAACGTTCTGTGGCTGTGTTGGCTTTTGGGCTGTGGGGCTAATGACACTTGCTTTGTGGGCCTACTTCATCCGTGACTGGCGCACCCTCAACATTGCCATGTCTGCGACTAGCGTTATCCTGCTCCCGTTGTGGTGGTACGTTCTTTTGTCTTATTACTTCAGGCTTCCCCCAGTTGTTTTTGTTTGTTTTTGTTTGTTTTTGTTTTTGTTTTCTTTTTCAAGGGGGGGGGGGGGGGGGGTAGTCGGATACACAAATGACTCTGAACGCATATTTTGTTCTGTCATCTCACAATTTAAATGTGATCATGGTTGTAAGAGTCCCTAAGGTACCGAGTGGCCTGGAAAAATGTTCATCCATAATAACGCTGATAAAACCGCCATGAACAAATTAGCACCAAGAGGAAAATGCTCATAAACGTGGAATATTAATTCGGATTTATTTTGTTTACACAATAAAATTTGCCAACCACAAAGTTACGAAGTGCTCCAGATATCGTCCAATTCGGGTAAGACACATTTTGACACTCGGAGTGAATTGACGGTCATGCTTTAACACTGCTTGAGGGAAATCTCTTTAGTACCTTCCATGATAGCTTCTCGCAAGTCCTGAATACTTTCAAAGGATTTTCCACATGCTTGCAGCTTTGTCCTTCAAGTATCCCCAAAGGTGGAAGTCCAGTGGACTTAGTTTGGACTGTTACTGTTACGGGTCAAATTGTGCTCAGTCCCATGCCTGACTCCTGGCACCAAAATGGTTGCTGATCCCGTGCTCAACAGATTTGGAGACATGAAGTGCAGCTCCATCTTCATAAACGGCTTGTTCCGTCTCCCTTCAGGTCCAACAAATTGCCACAGGCTTCTCCAAAACTTTGATAGGATGATGAGGTATCGGTCAGAGTTCTCTGTGACCAGATGCTGATGTTCATTTTCACTGAGAAAGAAGAGGCCCGATGATGCCCTGATGACTTATCACTGACCACACTTCTGATTATGAGGCCTTTACTTGTAAACCTAGTCAGGCTTTGCTGATTCTGGATAAACATAGTTTTTGCTGTTCACATAGCCGATGGAGTAAAAATGAGCCTCATCAGAGAACAAGAACCTTCGGATAAAAGTTTCATCCTGATCAGCTTGTCGGAGAATCAAGGACACATGTCCACTCTGGCATCCGTGTTTGCTTCAGCGAGTTGTTGGTGAACTTGGATTTTGTACGGCTTTAGCACCAAATCATTTTTCAATATTTGTCTCAAAGATTCTCTTAGCATCTCAAACTTCAGACTGCGACTCCGTATTGATGTCTTTGGTACTTTAATCACAGAATCGGGGACCCCCCAAACCTTTCCAAGGGCGAGTTGCTTCACAAGCCACGCAAAAATGTGTTGTGTGTGGACCCAAACCTGTCAAACTTGCAGCACACTTCAAAATAAAACTTTTGCTTATAAGTTCATGTTTGCAGGGTCCCCACAGGGTCGGGAAATCGGGAAAAAGTCGGGAATTTTGAGATGGGTCGGGAGGTCGGGAAAAAGTCGGGAATTTTGAGATGGGTCGGGAGGTCGGGAAAAAGTCGGGAATTTTGTGATGGGACGGTAAGTCGGGAAAGTATAGGGCCTGTGTAATGTGCAGCTATCTAGACTGTATGGTTGATGAGGCCTAAAGAGGAAACGTAATTGAAACATCCGCTGTGACGGAAGTATGTGTGACACCGAGGCTCGATCGCGAAGAATCAAGATCTGCTTTCGTTACCGCCCAGAAATTTTCCGGTAATAGTCTGATAGATAACGCAACATTTGTAACATGCAGGTTGTGCATTATGAACGCTGTGTCGCCTTGAAAATAAATCAATATTAAAAATTGCCCTCTGCTGTCGCTTGTGGGAAAAAAAAAAGAAAAAGAAGTTATACAAGCGTCTTGACAGGTTCGCCCTCGTGACCGGTCAATGAACCTGTGAGTACCGGCGGTCTGAGCGCTGTGAAGTATAGGACTCATTTAAAAGATACACTCGTGGAAGGGGATTTGGGGGGGGGGGGGGGGGGCTGAAGGCAACGCTAGAGGACAAAAACTGAACTTGGAAAGCAAATTTTTAGCATTTTGATGACTACTTTAGAGCTCTCTGCAAAGCGCGCGTTGGTGCAGGCCTTGTGTGGAATCAGGATCCGTCATGCCTTGTTATTGAACTAAAGTGTTCGCGTTTCATTGGATGGGGTGATTGTAATTTATATCTATATTTGGCTTACCCTATATTTTATTAGCTTTCTGTTCAAGATTGGCAGATTTTCAGTGTCACTGCATCTTGCGCGCCCCCTCCCCCCCCCACCCCAATTCTTACACCTCTCACACTGAATAGGTGTACTTGAGCCATTCTAGTCATTACTCTACTTTGAGTTGCAGTAACGGTTTTCGTCTTCACGTTTATTATTTGAATCGTGACACACAGACTGGTTATTGACAGTCGATCTTCTAGTTCTAGGTCTTTTTTCAGGCTCAAAACAGGATTCATTTTTTTAAAATATAGGGCCTATAGTTTGTTATGTTGGCTAATATGATGATGGGAAAATATAAATAAGTAAGAACAGACTGAAATACCAAAGTCTCTCAAGATCCCAAAACACTGACATGTTGTTAACTGGATATAATGTACCTACATGTGTGTGTGTGTGTATTCACAAACATATACATGTATTATATTAGATATAAATGGAGCACACGCTTTCATTGTTATGTAACGCGTTCCTGGAAAATGGATGAGGCCCCTCCCTTGGAAAATTGAGAAGCTGGGTTGGCAGTCACCCAGTATTATAGTCATCTATTGTTTGAAGACTATACTACAAAATGTACATTTGCATTTATGTATAGACATTTTGACTTTTTATCTTTGATAGGTTGGCTTTTTGGGGGATTGTTCTTGACGCGCAGCGGCCTGATTTTTCCCTCGAATTGGGGTCATGAAAAAAATTTGGGGGTCTTGAAAAAATTTTCCAGGATTTGGTGGGGACCCTGTGTTTGTTATAGATATCTATCGTGTATGCCAGATAATAAATGCATGATGAGTTAATTTGAGAGATTTTGTTTGGTAGTCAACTGTTTTCTCATGATCTTGTCTTTGTATAACAACAGTGAAAATGAAACAACCTACTCTATGCATGGGCTAGTTTCTGTTCAGTTGGGTGTCAAGAGAATTCTCAGCATTTCTTCAAGCAACCTTTTTTTTTCTGGTCAGGTGATAATTATCTTAGTGACTGCCATGACTACTTCCTTGTTGAGCTTGTTGATTTTTCTGAAATAGCCCATTAATATGTTTTGTAATAAAGCGTTTTGGCACACCATGCATGCAAAAAAAAAAATATTATAGTCGCCTATTAAGAGTGGTAATAACTCTTCACTGATGGAGTGTCACTCAAAGTAGTGTAAGTCATAGGCTGCTACTTCTTTTTTTTTCAAACTGAACTTGTGTCATTGCCTCCTGTTTAGTTTTACTACCAGACTCTTGGCTATGTTTAATTTGCTTATTTGAATCTGTCTTAGGTTTATTAGTGAGAGTCCTCGCTGGCTTTTGAGTCGTGGACATATTGTGGAGGCAAGCAAAATCATCAAGGAAGCAGCTGTGTTCAATAAACGACCTGTCCCAGATTTGAGTTCTCTGGAGAGTTATGTCAAGGTAAGAGCGTACACTGACTGTTAGTTCCTTTCTTTTTTGTGGACCTAACAGGGCTGTATGTAGAAAAGTAATGTACTGATGAGTTCTGAATGTTTTTTCTTGTTTTGTTTTAGAGTTTCAGATCAAATATTTGCTTTTTAAAATTTTGTGACTTGATCTGGATCTTGTTTGAGATCAGTTATACACTGTAGTGAGCTTATTTATGCTAATGCTTTATAAAATATATTTTCTCTTTATTTTCTTTTGTATCCTGTATGATGCCTCTGTTGTAAATAGGGTCTGTTGTACTGTAGGGGATACTCTCTACTGGATATTTTCAAGCATTCAAAAACTTTGTAGTAGGAGCAATGTTTTAAGTTTGTCAAATGATTTTTAAAATTTTATTTTTGCAGATGAGATGTTGACATGTAATTTAGGCACAGGTACTGAAATCCCGTTTCATCCTTGTGATGCTCTTGATTTAGTTTCCAATGGTAATGAAACTGCTTTTCTGTAAAGAAGTCCAGTTAAGTGACCAAAAGGAAATGAAAAAATATTTTGCTTTTAATTTAAAAGAGTATAATGAACTATATTGAGCTGTTTTGTTATTTTTTTCTCACAGAGGGAAAAGATTAAGAAAGCTACGCGTCGGCAATACTCGTACTGGCACTTGTGTACTTCACTGTCTCTGGGGAAAGGAACTGCTGTTTGTATGTTTGGGTGGTAAGTTTGTTTCTCTGTTGTGATGTTGTTCAAACATTTAGGTTTGTTATCAATTTTTTTCTGGTCTTGAAGACATCATTTTTAAAACAATAAATACAGAAGTCTGTTGTGGTGATAGAATCTCTGGCTTTGCCTTGTTCAGTTTTTGTTGTTCTTGTGTTTTTAATTGTAGTGTGAGCTTCAGTGATATCATATTCCTCTGGAAGGTCCCTATACTTTTTCTATTCCTTTGTCATTTCTGTTGCCTTGCTTTTTTCTTTTAATTTAAATACCTGTCCTTCCCCTCGACACACAGAAAGTACATTTTCAGCAAAGTAATAGAGGAATTTCTGTCAGTTTGTTCTAATGAATTCCTTGTTTCGATTGTGCACATGCCATCTGACCTAGTGTAGAGCATAGTACAGTGTGCTAATCTACTCTTACGTCTTGTCTGTGAGACTTTTCAAGCAATCTTACAATGTTGAATAGAAAGCACAATGTGGGCCACGTGCAGCTTGCCACTCAAACTGCAGTTACTGAAAGAGGTATATGGGGAAACAGAAAACTCATTCCTAAAGTAAAATTTGCTGCAATCATGGCATTCTCAACTCTATGCTTTCGATGATCATTACTATTTGAGCAATCAATCTTAATTGAAAACAGTCAAATCAAAGAAAATCTGGTTGTCCCACAGATATTAGTTAAAGCAGATTCCACTGTATCTGACTGTCTCTCATTGTCATATTTTCGTCTTGCTTTCTCTGCTTGTCTGAAACAATTTTTATCTGAGAATTAAACAAAAGTTTAAAGTTCAAGTGGAAAAAGTTGTAATCAGTTTTTACTTTTGCATCAGTTTTGGGCATCAATTACCACATTATATATATTTATTTGTTTCACTTCAGGTTTGTAGCCAGTTCTGTGTATTATGGATTGAACTTCAACACACGGAATCTGGCTGGTGATCGTTATCTGAATGTATTCATCTCGGGCATCGTGGAAATCCCTGCCCTGCTTTTTGTACTTTACACCAACAATAAATTGGGCCGCCGGAGGACCACATTTCTACTCATGCTGACCGCTAGTTTGACCTGCCTGTCTGTTCTTGTCATAGATCTGACTGGTGAGATGTTCTTTACCTTTGGTCTCCATAAAGGCACAAAATTGCATTTTGTGTATTTAGCCTGTATCTTGGTCAGTTAATTCACTAGTTAAGTTTTGGGTTTTGAACATATATATGTAGAATTACATGAAGTAGATCACAAAACATATTTCTGAATAAGTACCTGTAAACTCTTCTTGATTTTTTTTTCTTTAGCTTGGGGTGATCAAAGGAAGCCAGCTTGATGTTTTTGTTTTAATCTAAGATTTCATCAGACCTAGGCAGAATCATTGAAGCAACTTTTAAAGACTGGTGGTGGAATGAGTAGGTCAGGGTTGTTGGTTGATAAGTACAATGTTATGCAGGAAAAGATTGCTGAAGAGGAGTGGGTTTTTGAGGCCATTGTATGAATTGTAGATTAATGAGTTGTGTTCATTTTAATTTGATACCTGTTTTCATCTCCTTTTTCTTAAATGGGCTATTATGTTCCGAAACTTTAAAGAAAAAAACAAGTTTTACAGGTGTTGCATAACAATGAATAATATCAGAGTTTTTTTTCTTGTAAACAGAGTATTTGATGTTTCAGTGGTTTTCTTCATTACATTTATAAATAACTTCTACCTGTCTCTTCAGGCAACTTTGATAAACTCTCTGCACTGACCATCACCATGGCCATGATCAGCAAATCTTTTATAGCTGGAGGATGGGCAGCAGTGCAGGTCTTCTCCGCAGAGACATTCCCAACTGTTGTAAGGTAAGACAAGAACAAACATTTAGTAAAATCCTAATGAGTGAAAGTGTGTGTTGTTTGTGTGCTTGGGGGGGGGGGGGGGGGGGGGGGGGGGGTATGGAAATTTAGTTTTCTAATTGTTCCACCAGAAACAAAGTAGAGAAATTTGAAAGTGCTGCACTTGATCTTCGCACAGGTTATAATTGAGGGGAGGGAAAAACTTGCCCAAAGACACTGGAACATGTTGAATTTTGGTGGTTATGCAGGTGAAGCTTACTCTCTTCTGTGAGTTCAGCAAATAGTTACAGTTCAGAAAACTGTATGAAATATGCTTACTACAAGGAGACTGTAGAAGATACATGGCACAGCTGATTCTTATCTAAAGTCTTTATTATAATGTGTTGTTAGGCCAAAGAAACTGAGTCTGTTACCTGTTTCCGACATTCGATAAGCATTGTATTCTTTACTTGAATTAGAAAGACTGCTTTTTACTTGTTATTTTTCCTTTTTATGTTTTAATCACAAGAAAATTTAACCCTACAGAATTGTGTTTGTCTTAGAAAAGTAAATACAAGTGCGCGAAACCTATTTAAATATCAATGTAAATGCATGTAATGAGAATGTTGGCTACTGTATCCACAGAAATATTGGTGTCGGAGCGTGCTCTATGTCAGCCAGAATAGGAGGAATTGTTGCTTCTCAATTTGTTTTCTTGGTAAGTCTGTGCAGTGTTCTGTCCTGGTAAAAGCTGTGCATGGTTTGTGATGCCTTTAGCATTTGTTTTGTGAAGCTCCAACCCCCCCATGCTATTTTGCATTAAATTGAATTTGAGTACTCACTTGACTTCAGAATTTAAGCTGCTAATGAATATTGAAGTGACTTGTGCTATGTTCTTTTGTAGGTATGGGAGATCAGTGTAGTTCCTTAGTGTTATGTGGGCTGGGAATATTAGATGAATTGCTTATGTTTCTTCCCCTGTGTGGTTATTTTGACTGCTCAGTGTAAGACTCCATCATTCATCACTTTCTGTCTTTAGGCCATTCCCAAAGGGGGGATATTAGCATGTTCGTATGCACCATAGAATTGTAAATGGGCTGACTTATCAATGTCATGCTCATACTGTGCCGAAACAACATAGGGGGAAACTGCTGCCTTTTTTTCCTCTTCCTTACTATCGTCTTTTTTCCTCTACTTCTTTTTTATGTTTGTCACTCTCCTGTGAACTGCTATTTCTGGGTGCCTTGATAGTCGAAGCAGACTTTGTGCTGTTGAGGCTAGAGAGGTGAGCAGAGAAAGCCTGATTCGCCGTATGGACTTGTCTGTTGACATCGACCCCTTGGTGCTCATATGATTCTGAACTGGTTTATGGTTTGTCATGTGGTAGCGTGTACTCCTAGTACAGTCAAACCTGTATAAAAAACGACCACCCATTGTCAAGGAGAAAAGTGGCCGTACAACACAGGTGGCCGTCTCAGGCAGGACTGATCAAAATTAAGAAAGTAAACCATTTCTTTTTCTGAGGTCCAAACTGGGGCTGATGTCAGAGTTAGGACTGCCGTAAGGCGAATCCAAAAGTTTTGTTGTTGTTTTCTTTTGGAAAGGGGAGGGATGTTGGAAAGGGTTTTTCTGTTGTTGTTGTTGTTGTTGTTCTTGTTGTTTCTTTGCTGGCTGTTGTTGGGTTTTTTTGGGGTTAGCTTTTTTGTTGCTGATATTTTGTGCCAGAATAAAATAAAGAATGTGAGACGATGAAGACCGAATGTCATGGTATAACAAACACTGGGTTGCCACCACTCGGAGAATGAGCGACGCTTCTGTCGCAAATTCACGTTAACATCCTTTGTTTTTTTTGTTGCAGATTAAGTAAACAAAACAGTGTCCAGTCACTTCGCGTATGATTTGTGTATGAGTTGTGGGAGGGGCTTATAGGTTATGAAGGATCACATGCTTCCCTCACCAGCAGTCGAAAATTTATTGTTAGCCTACCCATTGGTCAACTTGGATAAACATTCATTGGAGGGACAAACAATAAGGACAGTTGAATGGATTATGACAGCCCGTCCACAATGTCAGAGGCCGATTAAGAATTTATGACAAAGCGTCGGGCGAGTCGAGACCACACCTGGTCGCCTCGGGCAGGTAAATTTGACCGTGGGTTGATAAAATAAGGTGGCTGCGGCTGCATTGGACTGGTGACCGTTTTACACAGTTAAATTATACAGAAAAAATGCAAGGGAGGAAATGGAAAGTGGTCGTTTGTACAGGTGGCCATCATGGCAGGTTTGACTGTATTTTAGTTTGCAATCCCCTGAATTTGTACCAGCTTGAGAACAACCTTGGTCCTATCCATGATGTATGTGACATGCCCATGGGGCAAGATTTGAACCTTGTCTTGTGGTTAGGGTGCACCACTCCTTTTCTCTCTCTCTCTTCTTTCTGTCTTGTTTTTTTTTTTCTACTCTAAACTTTGCTTATGTGCTTCTCTTTCTTCAAACTCAAACCACAGTATGTAAATATCTCTTGAATTTGGGCAGATAAATTGTTAATGTGTAATTTTCCTGTTGACAGGGAGAGAGTTCGAAGGCCATTCCCTTCACCATATTTGGCGTGCTGACTCTTCTGTGCAGTTTGTCCATGCTTTTGCTTGAGGAGACGGTTGGAGTTCCATTACAAGACAGAATACATGTGGAGGAAGTCATTGTGACTGCATCTCCTCAGTCTGAGGCCCTTGTCACTTCCAACGGTTGCATTTCTAAAGAAAAGGAAGAGAACTGTACCTCTGTGCAAGAGACTGAGAAAGCATTAGTGATGCAAAATGGGCATCATGGTGTTGCGGTTGACATGAGCGTATAGATGTAGAATGTGTGTTCATCAATGGTGGAAGTTTCTAGTATCGGGAGTACATTTTTATTTTTGCACTCCTTAGAGAGAGGACAAGATTTTTTACATTCCTGCTAAAGTGTGTGAGTGTAGCTTACAGTTATGGACGTACAAATTGTGCATTTTAAGATACTGTTTTTTATTTGAACGATGCACTTATCAGGGAAAGTGTTGTTTGACAAAATGACAGAGGAGCAAGAAAAATATTCCACCTCAGACAGGATGACTGATTTGAATGAGCTGGGGGAGGAATAGAATACCCAGGAAGGACTGAATGGAGACATAGAGCTGTTGTTTCAGGTTATGCTGCCCGGTCGGACAGTCTTGGCTCAATTTCCATGACAACATTTTCTATTCTTTGAAATAGATTTTCAGTAACTGTATGAGATTTCTTTAACTTCTGTCCTCTAGTCACTGCCTAGATTTATGTGCTCTCATTATTTATTGAATAAAGTCTGGCATGCACATAGCGAAATTGGCGGAATGCTGAAATCTTTTCATCATGTGCAAATTTCTCTATGTACGTGTGGTAGACTAAGTTTGTTTTTCTTGAACCTCAGAGTGTTTATACTGGTGTCTCTGATGTGATGGTTTGACTCTTCACAATTGCTCACATAGGACATGAGTTCGATTGCTAAGTAGGGAAACTTGTTTTATTGATTATCTCCTTCTTTCTGTTGGAATGCTGTATCCCAGTCAGCTTTCAGGCAGGTTTCAGGCAGCCTGTCTACATGACCTAAACCATGTTGATGTAGATGTAAAACATTTACAATCAGTGTGTTGGTTACTTTTATAGTTGATGTGTTGAGTCAGCCTAACTTTGTTGAACTTTTCTCTCAAAAGATCTGGGTGTGTGTAAGTTTGTTCTTGTGCTTTGTAAAGTTTGCTTCAGAAGGCTGTTCAAAGAAAAGACCTACTCTCTGATTGTATCTGTCATTCTTGTAGTCCCAAGTGAATTTTTATTTTTGAAAGCGTTGGCCAACTATCTCAGTTTGAAAGTACAGCTACTGTTATGCGGAATCACTATTATTTATTGAGGATATTATTATCAAAAGTGCCGCCTCTTTCTCGTCTTCATCAGCTGTGTTCCTTCAAATGTCTTTTTGACTCTTTATTTTTAAAAAATAATTTATTTTTTAATAACAAGATTTTCAGTAGCAATCTGTACTGTTCCCTGAATCAAGATTTGTTTTTTTAGCAACAGGGGTCATTCCTGATTGTGTATTATTTTACTTTTTTGAAAAATACATGACAAAGCTACTGTCCGTGCATATAGATCTTCTCTTGGCTTGTTTTTACCTAACATCTTTTAGTGATTGCTTTCAGCACTTTATGTTTTTTTAAATGATTATGTTCGAAATAAATATGGCAAAAAACTAAAAGTATAAATTTTGAAGACACTGCTGTCTCACCTTATATTAATAATAACTTTATTGGTTTTTCAGCTTTTTATGTGTTTAAATTATAATTTATTGTTATCACACACGACTTAGTATTCAATATTACATGGCTGTCTACAATTTTATTTTGTCATCAAGTTTTATAGAAGGTCAAGATTACTTTGATATTTTAACAGTATAAACTACCCTCTTTAATACTTCTCTTGAAAGGTAAAGGTCCCATCTGCAATTTGAGTCCCCTTCATTCTCTCATATAGATGAAAGACTCATTTTTTCATATATTTTTGAGTAACATCAGCTACTGAAAGGGAAAGTTTTCCTGTCCAGTCATGGCATGATGTTAACAATATTTCAGCAAACTTTTCAAAAGCTGTAATTTTTAACTGAATAAGTAAAAAAACTGCCTGGCTTTGTGTGACAAATTGCGTATTTTGGCAGGGTATAAATAGGTAGGTATTGTTCATCGGGCTGCAGGATGTATTATTGTATTGGTTGCAGGATGAGGGACGACTGCCAGGAGCTTGATAGATTTCAAACACGATGACATTCATACCATTGTATTATTATGTTTTTGAAGGAATAGAATCTCTATACACTGCCCATGATTTTGCATTTCATGCCAAGAATAGAATTTGTTAATGATCAGCAAATACCCTGAAAAATTCCTTGACGGTAGACTCTTTTCCCTCTTATCTCTTGTGGATTTTCACAAAATTAGCCGTGCTGAAGTGGATGCTAGAGTGTTATTCCTACGATGTAGTAAAGTTTCGTTAAAAGAACATTTTGGGACTGTTACTGCCATCTGCCTTTTCATTTTTTAGTCAACTGTTCATGTCTGACAAAAAAAAGTTAAAAAGTTGATGTTATATTTGCTGGAGTGAAGCGGCAGTTGTTACCTGTTTTGTAAGCCGTGTTCTATTGTTCAGATTTATTTTAAAAAGAGAATTATTACATGTGAGGCATTGGGGTGAAATTAGGTGCTTGTCAAAATAATGAAATCGAAGAAAACAGCTTCTTTCATCCTGCTTGGCAATTCTTATCAAATTTTTATTTTTTGGCTTAACCCTTTTTATATCCATGAGAAAACACATTACTGTATCGATCTTTCTGAAAAACGTTGATGAAAGGCACTAAAAAATGTAAATTTACAATTTCCAAGGGCTCTCAAGCTTTGGAAGTAACCAAATTTTGGCAGCCATTTTATCGCTAACATTACCTCTCCCTGAAACCAGGTGACCCCGACCTCCTTCAATCCGAAATATCTCGACTCCTATTGAAGATAGCTTGGGAGTTTTTTTCATTGATTGCAAGACAAATAAACAAGTTTTAAGATGATACCCATAACTCAAAATGTCTAAAAATTGACAAACGCCTGATTCAATGGCATCGTGACACAAATATGTTCGTCTGTTGTGATCAAAATGATCTAGATTTTTGCATATCAACTTGGCTTTTTATGTAAACTTATTTTTAAATCAGTATTGACGTTCCGTATTTGTTGCCGTGGCTTGTTGAATATATGCATGCAGTGACTTGTTAAATATACAAATGGAGTTTAATTTTTTAAATGTTTTCTTTTTGTTTGTCTAGTTTTTTTAATCGGTTTTTTTTTTTTTTTTGGGGGGGGGGGGGGGGGGTTTTTTTTCC